CGGTTTGCGACAGCAGGTCGAGGCGCATACAGCGTGTTGCGTTACTTGGCGAAAAGGCTCTATGTATACATGCACATGTAAATCGTAAAGTTCGAGGAGCTTGAAAGAGCTCCTTAAAGAAGCCGCAATATATGAGAAAGGATTGTAAATCTGTGTAACACGAATGTTTATGTTTGTTCGATTGTATTCGAATGTTTTTTTTTTGTTGTCAAACATATGTTTATCTCTATGTGAAATATGCGCGTTACGGCGTTTTCAAAGGATTTTTGAGCATGACAAAATTGAAAAATATTTAAAGAATCTTAAAATATATTGTTTTTTTAGAAAAAAATTTTCTTTTTTCTTTTAATCTTCCAAATTTTTCTTTCAATCCCTATATGTATTGTATAGTCTGTCATTAATCTTTGTATTATTGATTTGAAGTGACGCCAAAGGACCTGTAATGATGTACATTATTATATTATAATCAATTATTATATTATAATCAAGGAAATTGATAAAATAGAAAGCACGTTGCGTAAACATGACGATAATAACAATAATAACATATGCGAAATATGATAAAAAGAATACAAAGGAATGATATAAAGATGCGAGAATTGATCTCCACACACAGATGTAGATTCCGTTCGCGCGCGCTATAACGTTCACATGCATATTTGCCAATGACAATCACAGAGCAAAGATGGCGCAAATCTACTGAACGATCTAATACGACTTAAATCCTCCGGAAATAAACGGATTACTTCGATCGAGTCGCATCTGTCGAGATAATAAAAAAAAAAAAAAAAAAGAAAAAAAGGTAAAAAACCATGAACGCGCACGGGAAACGTCTCGTTCGCTCGCATTTATACGACCACGATAGTGAGCTATTCTTGTGTACGACAATGCAAAAGGATTATCCACCATGCTGCGTACAGATCGCTTATACGATATATATCTATACAGGATGATGCATAACTATGCGCTTGTAAGTAAAGTAACGCAAAAAATCGAACGAAGCGAATAGATACAACCGCTCGTATATGCGCGCGCGTTTTCCAATATCGTTAAAATATAGATATTGAAAAATATAAGAAAAACTATACGCGCGAGAGATACAGACGACAACGGCTAGCCGGAATAAAGAGAAATGTAGAAAAAATGTGTATTTAAACATTTACCTAATACTCAGCATCGCGTTCTATTTTATTCTCTACTAACGCTTCCGTTTTAGCCTCACCTTTGCGCGTTCACCCTGTATGAACTCACGCGAGTACTTTAAATCGCGCACGAGGGCGATGTTGGTCCACAAAGAAAACTTATTCTCTCGCGTAGATCTCATATCTGTTTCGATTCTTCGAAAAGCGCTTATTGATCCGGTAAACTTCTCTTTGGTTCTTTATGGCTCTTTGTGGTTGCCGCTCAGAAGATTATAATACCCTTGTGTACGTAGGGACTTTAATCTTTTGCAACATTACTCCGACATATTGTGTATTCCCGTAGCATGGGAACGATAATTTTCACCTCGCAATTTGATAAGTTTTTTTTTTTTTTTTAACTTTGATCGACCTGTATATGAAGTTCTCGTAAAATTTTTATTCACATTTATTTTATTTATTATTTTTTTTTCTTTAATAAATTTAATAATAATTAATCATAAATATTTTAATATACTTGCCTACGTGACAGAAAATTACACGAGTTTCTACTTGTGAAGAAAAAAGTCTTATCCTTCTCTTGGCAAAATTGGGCGACAGATAATATCGACAGAGAATATCTGCAACGGACGACTTTTGTCACTATCGTCTCTTCTCGAGTAAATACTCGGGAGCAGTCGTCGTCCCTCGCATCGGTGGCATCAAATTACGTTAGGTGAACGATAGCTCCTCCTCTCTCTTCTTTCGAGATATAAAAGCCAAGACAACGTATATCCACGCTCGGCCTTTCTCCATCCTCCTAATCTAGAAGATGGCCGGATAACGTCAATCATTTGGCTGACCCGGACTGACTCGAATAGATTGACTCCTTTTCTCCCCTCTTTCTCCGCTCTATCATTGTGAGAAAACCGTACCAAACAATTGTAAACCAGATGGCCCGTCAATTGTGTTCGGATAAATGGTACAGTGCCAGATCTTCTCAATCGATTTTACTTCGCGCCGCGAAAAGATCGATATTCTGAACAATTAAAAAAAAATTCAATGTATTGACTTACGCCACGAAGATTAGCGAAAGTTAACTCTGATGCAAAAATTTTTGCGTAATCTCATATTAATTTTAAGAAAGATTCTTGTAGCAAAACTTAAAACTTCTCATAAGTTTTGCAAAAGATCTCGAAGATCTTACCGACGGATTCTTGCCGCATGTAGTAACAAACAAAAGCGCCAAAGGAAATCGTCCGGGTGAAAATCCGGCGGGTGTTACGGCGGGATCTATCGCGCACCGCCGCGTTCCTAAAGGAAGTATTATCCTTTACAGGTGTATACTTGTTACATTCTCGGTAGGCAGACACGCGCAAACGATACGGTAGGCTGAGAAAGAAATCCTAGGATAAGCTGAATTGAGGATGCTCGCCCGGAAGATGCGAATCCCTCATTCATTCTTAGAAGCCGGCTACCGGTCACTTACACACATGTGCATTCAGACACGCGTGATCTTCATGTGATCCGCTAGAGTGAGGGTTGACCGTCTCAATTTCTCCGCGAAATTAAGCCTATTTCCGCCGGAAGGTTTTTTTACAGAAAAATGCTCGAGTCTATTCGACGATGCCTGATCCACTTTCGCAATTTTTTCTCTTTTTTGTAACGTTCTTAATATTTTTTATTTTTACATAAAGTTTTTTTAATTTTTTTATGTTATTTGTTTTTTTATGTTTTTTGTTTTTTTTTATATGATTTGTTTTATTGAAAATAAAAAAATATATGTATATAAAACACATAAAAGTTAACGGTAAATTGAACTTTATCTTATTTTATTGAATGTTACTTTTTCTTGTGATTGATAAGATATGTACACTGATTGTACGTAGTGTGAATCGTATAAGTGAGTAGTTGGGAAAAAAATGAAATCGGAGACTGTGGGGTGAAGCAGAACGAACGAGGCACATTCAGTTTCTTCTTGTCGCGCAATTCACACACGATACGGTCAGTGTATGTTTATCACGTATTGTTACTCTTTTATACAATTTATGTGTGGCAAAACCAAATGTTCTTTTGTCGGATAATGACCAATTAAACGATCCGGACAAAACGCACGAACAACAAATAAGCCGCCACACAATTACTTCCGGCGCATCGATTCGCTTTGGATTCTTATTTAGCCGAAGGATGATCTCGGTGCAATTTAACGAACAATCGTATGGAGAGCCAGGACTCTTTTGTAAGTGGGTAAGTAGGTGGCGGAACGAGATCCGTGTCCCTTCCGAACAGAACAGCTTTTAAAAGACTTACCGCGAGCATTAGCCGGGTATTTTACCGGGCAACATCCCCGCCTTCCTTTCGCCGCTTTCACCCTCTTTGATCCCGCAGTTTTGTTTCCAAACGCGAAGTATGTATTTGAACACCGCAGTGTGCAAGATTTATCGCGCCATACTCTGTTATTAATTATTTGCGGCTGGCTCGGCCGCGGCACAAAACACCTGTAGACCACAAACTGATGCACAACTCACTATCACATCAAATTTAATTCTGCAATAATAATAATGTCTGGTTTATGCGTCACTGCACCAAGCGACTCGCTCGCACATGTAAATTTCATATTCGTGTATAAAATAACACACGTACTCGAAATAAAAAACACGCATTCCAAAAAATATAAATTATTGTTATACTGTAATTAAATCTTCATAGATGAGTAAGATATTTTCTTCCTGTTGATTTTTGCTCCTCGGAAAACCGCAGGTGTCATTCTATAATCGGGAGAAATTATCGCTTGTCACTGGTTATCCTTCTCGCGCAACAGAGATTCATACTCTCGGAACGTTATTAGCGAAAGATTCATCCGAGGGGTTAAAACCCTCTATTGCCGAGAGCGTTTGGGACCCCTTGCCCTTCAGGCAGCTTCGAGGGTGGCCCGACGATGCGCGTTTTTGCCCTTCTCGAAACAAAACATATTGTCCGAATTTAATTGTGAACGGGGTGCATTAGATATTCATACGCCGTAAGTTCGCATGCGACAATACGGGCGCGTACGTCCAAGTTCGCAGCACGTGCGAGTTTAGAGCGCGCGTCTCAAGGGAATAAATCTTCTTCGGGATAAACACTTTGCTTTTATTCTCATTCATTGCATCAGCATTTCCTTTAATTACTTTGGAAACGACGTACGACAGCGACGTTCAAGCTAAAAGCTTTTTTTTTTTAGAACAGCATAATTTTTAATAAATTTGTGCAGTTTGCTATTCCAGAAACAACAATTAAACTGGAATTATATAGTTTTAAGTGAAATCTTTTGAAATATAATTTTATAGTTCCTATAACTTTTCGGTATGACGCAATGAACGTCGTAATTGAGTCTAACTCTATTCCGTTATGTATTGTACATGCTATTAATAAATTAAGCAAACAATTACGCTTATTTGAAAGAGCTGATCACATTTAAGTCTCGGAGTGTCTTCTGTTAACTTAATTTTTTTCAATTAATATTTTTTTTTCTAGTATATTTCTAGATATTTTTTCATAATCACTCGTATGGCAAGAGACATACCTGAGAAAAACTTATTGGAATGTTTCGAGAAAGCGGAAGAGCGATACAATAAGACAGATAAAAGAGTACGTAAAAAAATACATGATGCGAAGAAGTACTCTAAGAAATACACTAAAAGATATTGTGACAAATTTTCCCACTCAGAAGCCAATCAGAACATCGAATGCTTTACGTATAACGTGTGTACGCCCCCGTCCGCGAACTATTGGCTGACGCGTTGCCGAGGCCGCGATAGGTGGGGAGAAGAGGGGATTTCTAGGAGTAAGCCCTCCGCCGCTGCATCTCGGTCGTCGCTGGGTATACAGCACTCTTCCACGATCCTCGGGGAAGTGCACAGCATCCATACATGCGATATGAGCTTTATTTTTAAATAATTTACGATAATTAGTTCGAAATATCATGCAAACGTTCGCGCAAACTTTTTATTTTGGAAGAAAAGTAGTTATTTCAATTAATTTCGCAGTACGGTTATGATGTGTGTTACAATTGACATATGGACGCGTAGTGACGTGAACAGTGATTGCAGCCAGATAATCTACAATTGTGTGCATAGTAATTAGTGAAGTGAGAAGAACATTATTTATAAATTCATTCATTCAGTGAAATTTATTTGGTCTTCTGGTTACGTCATGTACGGCGATGGACCAACTAGACACGATTGACCATGAAGGTCAATCACTCACTATTCTCATTATCAACACTCATTTTGTGAGACTGTAGAATTTTAGTGCCGTTCGCGGCAAATTGGAAGATATACACTTTGCGAGACGTAAGTCTCAACCACGGCGACAAAATTGATCTGGACTTTCATTCATCACGGGCCGCCGGCTATATGAGTAGGTAAGTTTGTGAAAAGGTCGAGAATAGATTTATATTCTATCATTTAAAACGCATGTTCCGACGACAAAATTTCTCGTGTAATTCGGTTTCAAAATTTAATTTTTAAACACACACACTTTCTCTCTCTTTCTCTCAATAAAAAATTTTATAAAGTTTTATATACACAGGTGAAAAAAGTACATTGAAGCATGTACTCAGTTTAAAAAACTTATCTGTTGATAAAAAATTGCGACTTTAAAACAACCATATTGAGAAAAACGTTTATTAATAATAATAATAAGATAGGAGCGGGTGAGCTACTAGAGTCCCTTTATGTCACCTAGATCTATAAGATCTTCTGTGACTCCCGAAAACGTTTATTAAATTGTACAAGAAAATTTATGTTCGAATAAAACAAAATTGTAAACGATAAACAAGTGACTGTTAAAATTGTTGAAGAGTTTGACAATCGGCTTTGAACGAAGTTTAGAAAACAATCGAAATATATTAATGCGATATGCCACCTTAGAAACTCTTTCGTTGTATAGATCTAGAACAGAGCCAAAAGTTAACGTTCCAACTGATCTTCGAATGACGTCGTGTACTCGTTCCTATTTGTAAGACACCGCATATTGTTATTCGCATGAACACGTGAACTTCTGTTTAATAACAAGTTAAATTTGAGACGTTGAATACATGAAGATCACGAGTCAGACTCATGATACGGTTTCGAGCCAAAATATTATCGAACTCTCGGTAAAGAAAGCACATCGAGCGTAGACCTTCACTACTTGCGTTTTGCCAAATTCATTCTCAGTTTGATCAACTTTTACAATTGTTTTGCATTTGTTAAGAAAATTGGTAATTAATTGAAACCCCGACACATAAATGAAATTTCCGTCGCGCCACAAGCACAGCTTTTCTTATAGCATAGTTTTTCATGCTCATTAAAAACAAAAGAAAAAGATAGGAAGGGATCACTTAAACAACATATGAGATCAGATGTTAAACAAATGATTTTTTGTTCTTTTAAACCTTGTATTTTACACTTAAACAACATGAGATCAGATGTTGAACAAATGGTTTTTTGTTCATTCTTTCAAACCTTGTATTTGTAATAGCTTTAAATTTCAGTGTTGCATTCGGAAAAAATAATAATTCACAATATTAAGGGCAAAATGTTGATGCAAAACAAATGTTGATATTTGAATAGGTTTGAAAGTGAATAGAGATTTCAAAATTGTGTAGAAAAATTTTCCGTTTTATAGATTAGATTTATTTATACTGATTCTTCTCAGGATTACGAAAGTTTTTCGTTTTACATTATTCTTTTTTTTAATCTATGTTACAAGTATACAGTGCGCTACAAAATAGAAACCAGCTTTCAAATCATCAGACTTAAAAAATGTTTGTACAACAATTACATAAAATTGTTTAAAAATGAATCATAAAAAAAAAAAGAATTAATTCGGCATTTAAAACTTCACTGTCTTCACATCGCACAATTCAATCTGCGTTTTTACTCTCGCGGTTGTACGTTATTGTTGCAATATATGAATATATATAACTATTTTAACAAACGAGCGTTTTGATACATTCACGATAATTTTTATTTACTCCGCTTGCGCATAGTATAAAGCTTAATATTTTTCATTACATTCATTATATTCATTGTTAGTGCTTTTTATGGAAAATTACATTTAAAAATTTTTCATCGTCTTTCTATATTCGTTCGTTCATTTATTTTTTACTCGCTCGCTTACTTAAAATAGGCAATAATTGCGGCTTGCTACGCTATACTGCTTTTTTCGGTGACCCGTGCGTAAACATTCAATTAGCACTTTCTAATCCCCCTTCGTACCTCGTTGTCAACAGCTATTACTTCCAGCATCTTTCGGTCTCAGCGAGATCTATCTTCGAGAGAGAGAGAGAAAGAGAGAGAAAGTAAAAAGAGGGAGTATTCTCCGCGAGAGCACCCCAAACACCACGATGATGACGGGGTGGTTGTTCCACCCCTTGCCTAACCGACGTATCTATTAATCCGTCCTGAATGACACTCGAGGGTGGCACTCGCTCTCTCGTTACTCCCTCGCTAGTAGGGGGCAAATCTAACCCTGCAAAATCGTAACTACCACTCCCTCTCACATTCTCTTTCTTTCTTTCTCGCTCTTTCTGTTTTCCATTGGGTTCTTCTCTGACCACTACAGGTTTTTTTTTTTTTAACGAACGCTCAAGGAGATTCAGTGCGGTAATTGTGTTAGTTCGAGAAGTTAGGATTATCGGTACGAGTAAGAGAGAAATCGAGGGAGGAGGCCAGAAGAGTAGAAAAAGGAAAGTGAGTCGTTCTGGCGCACCCTTTTGCCGCAGGGGTGACGTTTAGGGTGAAGAATAAAGTACGAAAGAGCACGCGGAACGTGCCGAGATTGGTTAATAGCTTTGATACGAAGAAAAGGATAAGATTAATTTGCTTATGAATCGCAGAGCAAACGAATAAGCAATTATATACTGTCGATACCGAGAAAAGTTTACTCTCGTCTCGTTTTGACTCTCCACGGGATAAGTTTTAGCGACAGTGTCACAATATATCGCAACAAGAAACAAAAGAAAAAGTAATTTTTTTATATTCTATTTTAATTTTTGGTTAACCTAATATATCTGGAATAGTTTAATTATTGCTGTGCAACAGATCGAGTTCTTATATTTTGTATGTTTTAATATTTTCGTTAACATTAATGAATATTAATTATAAAAAAATTAATTTTTCTAGAAAAGTATTAAGAGATATTAATTGACTCCTATCTTCGCGATTTAAATACTGTAATATTTGCGATGTTTTGTGCCGCGTCCCCGACATTGCGAAAATAATTTACGACTTGTGAATTACAACTGATAAAACATAATATTATTTCAAAACGAAAGCCCCCTGGTGACAAGTCCAAGTCTTCACTTTTGACATTTGTCGGACGCTATTTACCCCCGGGATTTACGCGTGATCCCCGGACAGACTAGATTAACAAGGGTCGCTAATTGGTGGCTGTGTTTAATTACAGAGCCGGCGGCAGCATGTGCGACGGATCATTTCAGGAATCCCTCAGAAGTATGCAACAGAGTATGACAGGAACGTCGTCACCGGGTGCAGCTGGTATTACTCCGATAGGAATCGGTCTCGGGAGTCCACTTGGTCCGGCAAGTAAAAAGGTGCAAGCCGAGCACATTAAACGGCCAATGAATGCCTTCATGGTCTGGTCTCGATTACAACGGCGAAAAATTGCTCAAGAAAACCCCAAAATGCACAACAGCGAGATTTCCAAAAGACTCGGTACGAGTTAAAATCTAATCTTTTTATATATCTATCTTATTTATTATGTAAACTGCAGGTAGATAACATAAACTTCTCGAACTCAACATTTTCAAAATTTTTAGCAAAATTGAATACTCACATTTCGTCACTCCCTACGTATAATTACATAAGTGTCACATATGGGATTTTCAGTTTATTGCATAATGACACTTAGAAAGTCATGTTCTTTATGGTCACCAAATATTTAAAAAAAATACTCATAAATAAGGTACAAATTTGAAACCGAAAGATCCCTAACTATAGGGAAACATATGAAGCTTTATACTTTTAAACTGCTCTCCTCTAAAATTTGCGTTTTGGAGTTATGGGATCATACGTAGGGAGTGACGATTTGATGAGATAATTAACGCACAAAGTTCAAAAAATATTTTGATGCGCATGATTGAGTCGGAAATCGCACTCGAGTCTCCAACGAGACTGATTATGACAAACAAAAAAACTGAAAAATGTCTAAAATCTCTGACTCAAAACTCGATCTGCACTTTAGATTCTTCAGATGCCAAACGGTAACTGTTTAGGTATAAGAAACGAAGATCGATTGATCTGAAATTGATTGATACATTTTATTCATAACTTGATGAGAACTTAGTTTTCTGCTGCAAACATTATTCAGTATGAACAAACGGAGATCATCTGTCACGACATATTATTTCTCATCGCTTCTTTTATGAACGACTTCGCGCACACGTCCGCGTGATTTAGCGTCGACGGAGATATTCCGCCTAGTATTTCCGTTAAATACCCCGGTCGACAAAGAACCTTCCGCAACTCCCTCGAGCTCCTTTATCCGTCATTTTCTTCCTCGCCTCGTACAGTCTATCCCCCCATTTTTCGTTTCCCCGACAACGACGAATAAGGGAAGCGTCTCCTCCTCTACCTCCACTCGCCATCCACTATTCCTCCTCCACCTCCTCGATAAAAATGATGCGCACGCTCGAACCTTCGATGTACCCACCCTCTTTCCATCTCTCATTCTCCTGCCCTTCTCAGCCATTTCCTATTCTCCCATTCTACGTTCTTCTTCCACGTTTCTCCTTTTGTCAACGCGTCACTTTTCCGTCGCTTTTTCGCCGCCGAGCATATTTTCCAAAGGATGATACACTTCGTTGCATTATCTCCGCAAATTTTCCTTCTTCTTGCAATTCCTTACGTGCTACGACAAAACAACTTCGGAACGAATTTACAATTATTAGGTTTTTGTATCTGACATTCTTACAAAACAGTCACGTTTTATGACTTTTTCGATTTTGACAAAGATTTAGATAAATTTTCCAAGAAAATTTCTTTTCTTTATATTGTTTAGGTGCGCATAATAAACATTTTAGAAATTTCAAAAATGGTTTCCATAAAAACTGCTCAAACTATAAATCGCAGAGGTAGACGTTGACTCTTTTGGAATAGTGCAATAATAAAAAATCTTTTAATATTATCTTTTTATACATATCACGATCTTTTTATACATATTTGGAACGTTTTTTTTTGCATTTTTCTCGTTTTTCGTCGCTGATTTTAAAACTTAAGAGAATTACATCATGTTACTCAACAAGTAAAACAAATAAGAGCGAAACAAATGTAAGTTGTATGATACAACATCTCTCTTTTCTAAATTCTCAATGTTTCAAATCAATCCAAGCACTTGAAATTTGATAGATTTAATATACATAAGTGCAACAGAAATCTAATAAAGTAATTGTTTCGTCGAAAAACAAATACGTTTTCGTTTTTCGAGATTGACTTACGCGGGAAATAATTCCGGTTGGAAAGTGCGATAAAGCGATCGTCGATTTTATTGCGTCAATTAGTAGATGGCGATCAGTGGCGAATTGCCCGCTTATCTTTCTAGCGGACAATTCGCCACGTTTCACGACACGCTGGATGCTCAGGGGGGTAGATCCTAAAGGGAGTAATCCCAGTGTGAGTGGGAGAAAGGTTCTTTAAAGTGTGAGTATGTCTGTTGAGAGACGCTTAGAGCTAATCTAGTTATTGGACCTCGCTGTAACGTTGCCGTTGTGCGCAAGTTGGTTGACCAAACCAACCCTTTTCCTTTTACCTTCGAGACTCTACTCGAGTGAATAATTCGAGCGGTTCAAAGATAATGGCAAAAAACAATTAGAGTGAGATAAGAAAATCAAGATAGAAATGTGATGCATTAAGTAAACATTCTTAGTAAAATTATATGTAAATGTAAACGCAAATTTGTTATTGCAAACTGTGAACTATAACATGTATGTATATAGGATCTATACAAAAAATATATTAACACAAATAATTATTACTAATTGTATTATATAGTATTAATTATATGATTAATGTTAATTATTAATATTAATATATACAGCATTAATACTTAAATAATATTATTATTAATAATTATATATAAAATTATATTGTTATAATTACATGTAGTAACAATGACGCGATAAAACTGCTGTAATTTTTACATTCACGGTATTTTGATTTTCAAATATAATTTCACAATCTTTTTTTTTTTTTGCCGCGCTCGACAATCATGTTGCAATTTTATCTCGGAATCTTAATCTCTCTCCTACTCCTGAAGCTACCTTCATCACAGCGTTATACACCGTAAAAAAAACGCACGTACGCGATGCAAACACCCCCGAGAGAGAAGTTCACAGAGGGAGAAACGAAAGAGGAATAGAGGGTATATAAACACATGGGAGAGAAATGGTAGGGGACTTGTGAAGAAGAAGAGACTCGGGAGAAGCTTTCATCGTAATGAAGTATTTCTGCCGCTTGCCGAAGCCTTGAAGAAGAGGCATCAACTTTCTTCGTGCGCGTTAGAGAGACGACTCTTGTCGAGTTTTTGTAATCTTTTTCGAAAACAGGTCGCTTATCCCACAGTTCTACGGAACAATTTAATTTAATTATTCGACCAACGTCGTCTCCGTCGGCGTTTCGCAAACCTTGCTTATTCGTGTCGTAAAAAACTGAAGCTCTTTCGCAAAAAATCAGTATTTACTGAAAGAAGATCTGCTTTTGCATAAAATATTTAACAGTCGTTAAAAGTCAGAAACGAATTTTTTTTCTTGAGTCGATTGCATTAAGAAAATAACAACGATGCTCGACGTCAGCTGAAACGTTAATAATGATCGTAATTTTTCGACAGCGCGATTAGCTTCGAATACAAAACTCGAATAAACTAACAATTGTTTAATATTGTGACTGTCGAAACAGAGAGAATTATCACCTAGCTTTCACAAATCTTTCACGGCGGAAGTAAACTCGATCGCGTTTAAGGCAACCATTCATCGATTCACATGATACGTGAGAAGGGAAATAATTCGCGGAGAACCTCGAACGCGTTGCGCTTTACCTATGTCCTATAGAATCGCGAGAACAATGACGCCTGGCGCGACAAAGGCGATATAGTATAGATATATATATTTATATATATACATATATATATATATACATATATATAGTATATATATAACACGTGTGCAGGTACACGCATCTTCTCCCCTTGTGCGCGCGTGATTAAAAATGATCGTCCCCGAGCGAGCTTAAAGCTCCCGTTCCCTTAAAAGCAGCTCTCTCTCCGTCACTACTTTGAGCCGCTCTTTGTGTCACAAAGGCGAAAATCTCCGCCGTTCCACTTCGAGATACTCATGAACGAAATCCGTTTCTTCAGCGAATTTTGCAAGAAGAGGTTCGCACGCGGAAAGGTTTGCGAAAGATTAAGAGAACACAAGAGTGCAGTTGCAAGTACAACGTTTATTTCTGAGATATTTTCACCAATAAAAACGGTTTGAAAAAAAAAACCGAAAAACTCTTTGTAACATGTACATAAATAATCTTGAATCAAATTTTTTGGGGACATCTTAAAAGCGAGATACGTAGATTTTATATATTTGATTTGATTTGATTTGAATAGAAAACAAATTTTGCCGCAACATTATGGCCATTTCTGGAGAGTTTGGAAAGGTGCTGCTATATAAAAAAAAGACCCAAAGATTCAGAATTGAGAGGGATAATAACGACGTCAGAATATATATATATTCAAAGTTTTACTATAAAATAATCATCGTGCGTCAAAGACTATTTGGTTGTACGACGACTGTGTTAAATCACATAAGAGATATCCCAAGATTGTATTCGCCACGAGAAGAAAGGATGAAACTGCCGTTTGCCTCGCAAAGGGTCCTGAAAATCGAGTATATAGCGAATAATACGCGTGCCTTCCAGGCATCTTCTTAATTGGTACGATACGACGCCGGTAACGAGAATAACGGCGCCATTGTTTTCGCGCCGTAAGAAAAGGTAAAGGCTATTAGCGTAGCACGCGAAGAGGACTCGAGATAGGATTTCCCTTTAGCCGTGTCGCTTTATTTAACGACGTAATTATACCGCACGTCGGCCGCTGAATGGTATTTAATGAAATCCCGCGGCTATTATCGAACGTAACGCTTATCCGATGACGTATGTCTCTCTCTCTGACGTAAGCGTATGAGAATTATAAGCATATATATATATATACATATATACGCAGTGCAACATCAATGCCGTTTGAAAACACGATACTTTTGCGTGTCCCTCTCGAACGTGTGTGTAATTCTCGTCGCGAATAGGAAGAATTCTCGCGCGTTTTCTGTAAGCCTGAGAATTCAGCGGTTACTGGTTTTTTTTTTTTTTTTTTTTTTTTTTTTGTAATTGGGTCTTCATTATTAAACAGAGTGCTTTATGCAAGAATTACATTACCAATGAATTTGAAAACTGCCTGTTCCAGCAAATTTAATTGATAAATATATTTAATGATATGCGATCTTTCATACTAAAACGCACGCATTGATTGTCAAACATTGGTGTGCTTTGTATTAATTGCGCTGATAACAATTTAAGCACTTCTGAAAGAAAAACATCGAGACAAGAAAGCGCATGTTACATGTTGCATGTATTATACAATCAAACAAATGTTTTGTTTTCAATTTGTGTACGGATTATCGATTATTGAAATTAAACTAACGACAGTAATTTCGCAGCCCGAGTGCGGAAGAGAGTGCGAGTAGGGATATATTCTGAGTCTAACCTGTGCCGTTGAAGTAAATAATTCACTTTTTTTTTATTTTATAGTCTTAAGTTTGTTTTTCAAGTTGAAAAAATTGGAGTTTTTGTTTTACACACATATTTTATATTCCATGCGATTTGTGTTTAAACGCTTTCAGGAATTTCAGAAGGGTTTCATTACGCGAAGACGAAGAGAGAAGCGAATCGCGAATCGTTTTTAACCCCTACATTGCCTTCCAACCGCTCCACTACCTCGTCTTCCGCCAGCGCGGCGAGCTGATTGTTTTGCACAGAATTAATTACCACTTGTTGTCGGCCGTCACCGAGGCGCGCACAAAGCGCGAAGCCCCGGCTCTGGCATTCTAGAAACGGAACTCGCTGGATACGACACCGACCCAGACACCGGCTGATACAACGGCGATACAATATTCTCCGGAGGGGGTTTGCACTGCTCTACGCCAACAATGGCTGCCACGTTGGCGGGACACGGTCGTCTCACGACGAGACGCTAGCTTGCAGCTCGTAGATTTATTTTACCGGAGAATTTGGTAGCAAAGAGACAAAAAAATTGCAACTTGAATGATATAACTTGTCACGGTTCTTCAACTCAACATAACGATCAACAAATTAACGGAACGATGCAAGAACTCCATCATCTGACATATAATTTGAGTAACAGCCCAGGTCCAAGTCAACAAATTGGCAAATCGTGTATGCAAATTTGCCTTTGGAGTTCAAAAACGCGGCGACAGCTTCCGTTCACGCAAAGAGGTATCTCTGCTTTCTATTTACAGTATGTCTTATCCAATCGATACACGTTTTCCCGTCTGAAAGACAGGTGGCACGGTCGAACAAGAAAGGGGTGGATGGGTAAGTGAAGGCGGTATACGAGAGGTGGGCGAGGTTCGACGTATTTGTTTAGAACAAAGGCTTCCCGGGACTGATGGTATTAGTAAGTTGGCATTCGCGGGCAATACTCCTTCGTTCTCTCTCTTTCCTTCTTTCTGGGACGACGATGACGACAACGACGACGACGACGACGACGACGGTGGCGGCTACACCGACGCCGACCACGATCGACAACGAGGAGCGGGCTTTAAAGCACAATAGCACCCGCTTTTCAGTCCTTTCGCCGGCGGACAATGCCGTTTATTTAACATCGTTTAAAAGTACAAAGCCTGTTAATTAATGGACGAGAGCGGCAAAGGGAAAGACAGAGAAGAAGAATTGGCAGAGGAGAAAAGGAAGGAGAGAGATCACACCGGCGTGGCCGTGACGTCGCTCTCGTTTCTGCGACACGACCAATGTTGTTAAAGAAAAGCCGACAAAGAATATATGTTGATAGTGGATTGTCGATTTTATTTCAAGTAGTTCATTATTTCTCTCGTGACGAAAGAAAAGAGAAAAAACCACAGAATTCGGCGATGCGAAATTCTGGTAATTTACATTAATATCTCACGTTGAAATACGTTGAAGGGAAATGAATTGTTGTTTGAGACACAGACAGAGAAGACAGTGAAAAGACGAAGTGATCGGCAATGCAGTTACCGCATCGTCGATCGATCGACGCTCTCCCTCCAACCCTTCCCGAACTTGTCCCCAACGATGAAACGTGGAAATTGGAAAACGTTTCCTGCGTTTCCTGTTAGCACAAGGGTTTGACTCAACTTGAAGCGTTGTCGAACTTGCATCGTCAGGATTACGAGTAACAAAAAAAGAAATATACATCTGATGTTAAAAATACATGCGCCCTTTGGAGAAAAAAACTGCCAAAAAAACTGTCACGAAACTGTCAAGAAACTCTCAAAAAAACTCACCAAAGATTGTCACAGAATGTGTGCAAAAGAAACAGTCGCTGCGCTCTTTAATATCTTACATGTCCACTTTTTCACTTTTAAATTTGACAAATTTTTGAAAACCGTTATATTTCCAGGATAATTAATCTAATTCTAACATGATACTTGCTTAAATTGATTGCATCATTTGTTAAACAAAAAAATTATTTGTTTCCAGAAAATAATAACAAAAATAATCATGTAGTCAATTACAACAAAAAATCGATTGCGTATTTACGATCTAATTAGCACGCAATAAAAATTTGTTGCAGGAGCAGAATGGAAACTTCTCACAGAGGACGAGAAACGACCGTTTATCGATCAAGCAAAAAGACTACGTGCTCAGCACATGAAGGAACACCCGGATTACAAATACAGACCACGACGGAAGCCGAAAACTCTACGTAAAGAGGGTTATCCTTACAGTATTCCATATCCGAGTGTTCCTATGGATGCTCTTCGAGCGGGCAAGTCATCTCTAAGTTTCATCTATTTTATTCTATTACAAATTAATAATATTAATTAAATTCCCGAGTCGAAATTTAGCGTCTACATTGAACCTCAATTCCTTTTTTTTTATGTAGGAGTAAGAGAGAAAGTAGATCCTACTTTGACGCTGCTATACGTCCGAAATTTCTTTTTTTTCTGCTAAAGTTTTAAAGTAGGGTTCAATTCTCAGATCAGGCTGCGCATTGCAGGCTCTGATAGGCTCAAAATAGGCTCTGATAGATTCAAAGTAGGAATAAGAAAAAAAGTAGATGCTGCTTTGACGCTGCTATACGTCCGAAATTTCCTTTTTTCAAAAATTGAGGTTCAATGTAGACGCTAAATTTCGACTCGGGTTATTTCAGTAAAAATTAAAAACCGCATGTGATATAGTTTAACTTTTAAAAGGCCGGCCGAATTTAGTGATTCTCTAAATCTGCACGATAACTTCATTTACGACATACGTTACATGTGCATACAAGTTTTGAGTATTAAATACACAAGATTTCAGAAAAAAGTGTCGGCCCTGTAAAAGTTAAAATGCTTGAAAAATTACAATATTGCTCGTATTTCAAATATAAATGATAGCATGTTTAACAAAGATTTACTTTAATTTATTTTATTTTTTGTTTGAACAATGTTTTTATAATGTAATTTATTTTTGTTTTATCATTTGTGATTTGTATTTATTTTTTGTGATTTGTACAAAAAGATGTTTGTTGTTTTTTTTTATATTTTTTCTAAATAATTCTAAATTCTTGTTTTTTTTTTCAATTCTTTTTTAATCATTTTGCGAAAATTATTTTGTTTGGACAATGTTTTTCTAATGTGACTTATTTTATCATTTGTGATTTGTATTTATTTTTTGCGATTTGTACAAAAAGATTTTGTTGTTTTTTTTTATATTTTTTCTAAATAATTCTAAATTCTTGTTTTTTTTTTCAATTCTTTTTTAATCATTTTGCGAAAATTATTTTGTTGCAATGTAGCAAAGTGGTGTGTGTTGTTGTAAATATTGCACTTCCTGCAGTTGCGTAAACACTCGTGCCCAAACACTTGCGTTGACGTCACGTCTGTCGGTAGTTTATTGTGACAATTGAGCGGACATAATGAAGGCGAGCGCAAAAGCGGTAGAAGAATACAGAAAACGAGCTATGCGCTACCAATTTGTTTAATTAACACGAAGCGAAGGCGCAAACGCATTATGCATGGTGAATGCGAGGATTTGTAATTTAATAATTGCACTCTTTTTGTGACGCCATCACAAAGGACGGGGCGCGCGTACGAGCTCGTTATTTGCATTACATCGTAATACAACGCGCATTTTTCAAGCAAACTCGATATTTGCTTATTCATACTTTTTGCTTATTCATCATTTTGATCATCTTTTTTATAACCCGACAAGCGTTGTTCTTTCTGGCTTTTATTTCGACGGCTTTCGAATATATTTGTATCTCGAGTTACAACTTATAAATTATTGTCATTGTGTAATTCGCCGCGTAGGCGAGTTTACGCGATATCCTCTCTTCTATTGGAGAAATTATTAATTCCAGCAATGGTGATATCTTTTTTTTTTTCATACGGGTTTAAGTGTCTTCAGCCACCTACACGGTATTTTTGGCTATATGACACACATTATCTTCTCGATCGTTGAATCTATACTTTTCACATATCTTTCTTTCGTTCTCTAATCTCTGTGCAGTAGTAAGCGCTTTTACCAATCGGTACACAGCCGTCTATCACAGGCTCGTGTTCATGTTTGACGTGACTAAGACCCGTTTTTGGAAGAGATTAAATTCGAGATTAAATTTTAATCGAATTAATTATTAGATCCGATTCAGTTCGTCTTTCAACCGGTCAACTCGATTGAAAGAGACCGGCACGGAAAAAATCCTAAGGTGTTGATCGGATTCGAGAACTCGGGACCTCCATGTTCGCAGCCCTTACACTCAGTCCGCGAGACCAGTGTGCCGGTCAGCAATGATGTCGCGATTAAGGCTGGAGTTTATTTCGACGCCCACGCGATCTTCTCTGCGAAAAGCGATTGGTAATCTCCGATTTATATATATATATCGAAGACGCAGAAGTCTCTTCTGCTCCTCCCGTTTGTATCTCTTTTGAACGCATTTCCTTCTCTTCAATGATATCTCTTCCCATATTCACATTTCTATTCAGGTTTGAATTGAAATTCCTGCATGGTTTATACATAGATACTTTTGAGCAAGAAACACGCGCAAGAAATACAATATATTCGCAAGCCGAAGAGATAATTGAACGAATAATTAAAGATTTTTTTCTTATCGAACGAAATATAATTAAAATATAATTAAGATATAAGTGCATCTTGTAGTTTTTTCCTCAAGTTTTTGTGTTTTTATGTTTGTTTGGTTTTCTTTTTGGTCATTTATGCTTTCTCACGATCGTATTTATACGATACGATGATACGTGCATAAGACAAGCATGAGAGGGATAAATTATCGGTTTAAAGTTGAAATGTCAACTCAAATTTTTGTTTATGTAACGCATGCCTGTTAGTCAAAAATGTCAGACAACAATTATTAGTTTGAAATAATTATCATTTCTGGTGTTAATGTAATATCTTGATAACAATTTATAAAATGACACTAACGCGGTTCAAACCCGAAAAAACATCTTTGTATGTTAATACATTTATGACAGTTGTAATGCATCAGTTTTGTACAATAATTTAGACTTGTTTATTATTTATTTACAAGCATAATAATCATATACAATGCTCAAAAATAAATTAAATTAATAAAGATCATTGAACAAAAGAAAAGAACATAATATATGTTTACTCGTCTACTATAGTCTGATATTTTTGTAATTTTTAGCTCTTGTATTTGCATAAAAAAGAAAAAAGAAAGAAAAAATAATTAAAAGGCCGATACGAGCAGTAAATACAGGATGTTCGTGTATAAATATAAGTCTTTATTCCAAAAACACATACGTTTCGGTCCTCAATTTTGGACCTTCTTCAGTGTAATAAACATCTAATGACAATAATAGATAATTAGCGCAAAAGATACATCGTAATAAAATACAAAAAAAACAAATTAATAAAATTCACTCAATTAAAAAACAAATTAGATCACAACATCACTAAAATATAAAGTAAATGATGTCAATCGTGTATGACAACGAATTACAAATACTGTGTACTGACAAGAAAACATAACAACCAGCAAATATATAAAAGTATCCCCACTATATGATCAGAAGATCAAAAGTTCACATTAGGTCGAAAAACATGTTTATAAAAGTAACAGTCTAAACATTTGATTTATACAATTCAAGTAAAGAGAAATAAGGTTTCAACGAGTCAGTATCCGACATTACATTTAACGGATTATCCTGCAACTTAATGTGGAGCATTTCAGAAACTAATCTCTTATAAAGAGATAGGTGTGTTTTTGGAATAAAGACTTATATTTATATATATACACGAACATCCTGTATTTACTGCTCGTATCGGCCTTTTAATTATTTTTAACTTTTCACGAGCGATTGATTGATCGATTAAAAAAGAAAAAGATAAGAGAAATACATATTTTTAAGGACATAAATTATCAGAGTAAATATATTCTTTATATATATAGGGAGCTGTTCTTTTTGTTTTTTCAACGAATGACAGATTTACGATCACGAGTGTTTGCAAAGGCAAAAATGCTAGGCGTGACCACCAAGTCGTGGACTTTTGTATAATACCTCGGGAACTTGAGACAATTCAATAAATAATGAGCCAGCGACATGTTTATGCGCTCGCGTGCCGATGTCCAATGAATCCACGAGCAGACACGCTTCGCAAAGTAGTTTCCTTCGGCTTTACCGCGCCGAAGGGAAATTATTCGAGAATTTATTCTAGCGCTCCTTCACCTTTTCCGCTCTATCTTTGTGAATGTTGAGATATCAGATTGATTTGACATTGAGAAGACATATTCATTACATTAATGCAACATATAATAATTACAACATATATTAAAATCAAAAATCTTGAAAAGAGAAAAGTTATGATAAAGATAGTTGGACACAAACTTCGATTTTTTATTATTTTCTTTTTTTTACAACAAAAACTTTTGATGCCAAAAATTTGAATAGTTTTAACGTCTGTTTTTTCTCTATCACGAGGAATTTCATAATATGATGAAGAATTGTACACAAAACTAATTAACAAATATCAGTAACAATCAATAACAATATGTCAGTCTGCATTTTTATATCAAATCATACGTTTCAAATTGTCGAATTTCAAAATCTAATTAAAATCTAAAGTCTTATCTACTAAAATCTTATCTAAAGTTACATTCTAGTGATTACAGAATAAATGAATAAATATTTACTAAAAATTAATGGAAGATATAATGGGTGATTCTCTGTGAATGTGTAAATTTTATTTTCATTTTTGATAAAATAAAAAATAATTATTATTAAACTAACGGATAGCGACGACTTATGAATATATTTAAAAAAGGCGGAAATATCTGCAGTTCTTGCATGGGGACATCCACGGAGATTACAATTTAATGCTAAACTTATACAAAACTACTTATATAATGATTTTTAAATTTTATTTTTATAGTTAAATAGTGTAGAAAAGAGTATTCTCGCGTTCTAATAGAGCTGGTCAGGAAATAAAATTGTATTATACAAAAAAGTTATTTTGAAAGAACACAAATATGCGTGTTTTTTGAGAGAATCACCCATATATTAAAATCAAAAATCTTGAAGAGATATAAGAAAAGAGATAAAGATATCTGGATACAATCGATTTGCGAAGTGCTGAGCTAAAATATCTTATAAGAAACTACTTACATTCTAAACCTAACATTTTTTTGTATTTTTTGCATTTTAAAAATTTAAGTTTATGCTTACTGCGCCATTTTTTTCTTAAATTTAATTCTCAGATACATAAAAACTACGCACATGATGCACATAGTTGTTTTATAATGTACATGATAATGTATACATTTTGTCAACAAATTACTAATATATACATTTTGTCAACAAATTCTAAACTTAACATAAAGCTGAGAATATGAGAATTTAAGTTTATGATTTTACTAATTCTAAACTTAGTCTTATTTCAAGTCAGTAGTAGATAGATACTTCGTGAAATTGTCAATCAATAATTAAAAATAGGCCGATACGAAGTAATATACAGGATGTGTTCGTGTGTGAAGTAAATTTCTTTATTTAAAAAAGCCAAACGTTTCGTCTCCTATATACACGCTCTAATAAATGCTACAGCTGACCACGAAACTCAGATGGAAAATAGAAGCACAACAGGCAAGAAAAATAAGAAGAGAGAGAGAGAGAGAGAGAAATATATATATATATATAAAGTATTGACATGTTTAAATAAATTTATTAGTTGCCAAGTAAATGTATATTGATACAAGAGATGTATGTCAGTGCACGATGAGCGAGCAAACGAACTGGATGTAATTATGATAGTAAGGATGTAACGGGTTTTCGTGAGCGCTATTTTTCTCTATATGATATGATCATATAAGAAAATTTTTTTATAGATAGTATATATTTGTCCAGCAAATTTTACATTCATTCTTTCTAAAAATTTCATAAGAGTAACGTTCGAGAACGTAACTGCTCGAGCTGAATTTTGAAATGAGATGCGATGTGTATAGAGAAAACCAAGCACAACAAAAGTTTTTGTGTTTGGATTTAAATTATTATGCAAAAAAAAGTCACAACGTACTTGAACAATATTTAGGTTTTTAATCGCAGGTTTGTGTCGTTTATCCCCGCGCTTTCGTGGGAATTTTAAAATCGCGTATGTAATTCGCAATTCAGAAAGTACGAAATAAAAAGAACAACAACAAAAAACAAAACATTAAGAAGAGGACATTCTTGACGAAAGGAAATTTAACGAGATTCATCATATAAGGTAAGTTAAGTTAATAATAAGTACATGGTTAAACATAAGTACACATGGTTTATCACGTAACAAGGTAAGCTACAGTAATATATGCCTGTGACTAGTTGATTAACTCATGAAATAATCGATATTTGAGATCAGTACATAAACGACTGTTTTGTATTGATTGCAATGAAACTTTATGCAATTATTTCGCATCTCAGCTCGAACAATAACGCTATGTTGTGATTTGTTAAATCCGTTTCATCTTTAGAAATTCGTCGTCGTCATGGATTGATAAATCTTAAAAAACTCAACGTTAATCATTTTCCTCCGAATTACGTTAAAATCAATTCGCTGAAACAAAGCGAATGACCAACATTATCTAGTCGCTATCGATCGCTCAATAATGGAGCTTTATCGAAGGCTTTGTTGATAATCGATAAGGCACCCAAAGTACATTTTACATCTCTTTTTTACTTCTCTCTCTCTTTTTTCTCTAAACAAATAATAAATAATAACGACAAAATGGAGGAAAAGCAGAGACCTGGTTCTGGTGTATATGGTTATGGTGATTAATATCAGATAGATCTGATATTAATCACACTGAAAAAAAGCAGGTTTTTGTTGAGATTATCAAAGTTTGGTAATCTCAAAATTTGATTTTCAGAACACTGTATTTGGTTTGATTTACCAAATTTTTGGTCAATCTCAACACAAAACTGTTTTTTCAATGCACCACAAAAATTCTATTCTGACAGAAAATCTGACTGTTCAGATATATAAAGATATATATTATACATTTATATACAATAATATTCTAAATATTAATCTTTTAAAAACAGTATATTTAGCTTGGTTTAATTTTTTTCTTTTGTTTTAAACGATAAAATTTTAATGTTAAAGAAAAGTTTTATTTTGGTTTAAAACATTATTTTTTTTATTTTGAGAAAAACTCTCTAAAACTAACTAAAAACACTGAATTTTTGTGTTAAAATTTGAATTCTAGTTCTAGTTTCTAGCTCTAAGTTTCTCGATACTAAGTAAGTGTTACAGGTGTTACATTATAGGCTCCATATTCACAGGAATGGCCGCAGGTAGCATGGGACAAGCGGGAATATCATCCTATTACGCTCCTGCAGCGTATGGACAACTTTCCAACATGGCAGCAGCCGCAGCAGCGGCTGCACAACAATCTGCTGCTGCTATGTCTGGTCTTGGCGCACCACCTCAGGTGAATATATTTCTAAACAGTGTACATGTATGTGTGTATGTGTATGGATTTGATATGAGAATTTGATATGGATTTGATATAAGAAACTGAAGATTTGATATGGATTTGATATAAGAAACTGACATTCTATTTCAATCACGTTGTAAATTGAAAGAAGGTATATTGTTTAATGTTTATATTACTTGATGTCAGTTTTTTAACTTTATTACAAGTCGACAGTATGTCATGTGAACTACGTTTGACTTTAACTTAAAAAAGAAGACACACACGATTTCTTCGGAATGCATTTTTGATAAAATAACAAATGTCATAAAGATTGGATCAATGAATGTTAGATGTGTCTGATCAGAAACATTTTTTCCACAATATTATGCAACAAAGAACGTCATTTCTGTTATTTCAACGCAAATGTGACTTTGGCCTTAAGGGAAGAAATTAATGCGTTTTCTTCGTTCCTATTAATATTAAGCCGCCAATATTTTGCACGTCACAATCACAAATCCATTTATCTCGAAGACAATTGCTTAACTTGGATATATATCGAGTCCGCGAGACAGATCGCTGCGCCGGACCGCGTAAATAAAGGAAAAGGAAAGAAGAAAAAGAGGAGACGGATCATTCGCGCGCGCGCGCGCGCGCAAAACGCGAGAGGAAGAGTCGATTCTAGAGAGAAGAGGAAGGATGAGGGTGGAAGAGCGGAAGGTAACACGGGAGAGAGGATGAGTGTAGGTACGTTTCATTCGTTGTCGCAACAAAGGAGCCCCCGGGTGGCTTCGCAAACAGAAACCGGAGACTGTGGTCTGTGTATGAATTTCCGCAGCTGGCTACGAGAGACAAACAGATAGCTAGTTATTTCTGCATTCAACAGCTGAATGGCCGACGCGTCTGGAACGACGCACCGGCGCGATACAAGCGACCATTATTGGCGAACACCGACGGCGAGCAGCATGCTTGAAGAATTCTAACGTTATCTTCACCCGACCGAGTTCGAGAGTTCTTTCTCTTTCTCGTCATCCATCCATCAGCAGCAGCATAGAAAGAAGAAAAATTACAGAAATCTTGAAAAAAAGAGAAAACAATAAAACACAGTCTTTTTTTGCCAAGTAAAGACAGTCGAAAGATTCTTTATTGTGACAACAATATTTTCCGTCAACAAGAAAACACAAAATTTAAAATATTCTTAAATTTATATTTAAAAGCTTACAACAACAAGAAAGTAAAAGAAAATGTCATATATTTCGTACATGTATTTCTTATCCTGTGCACTTATCAAAAAAAAAAAAAAAAAAACAACAATTTTGTAATTCTTAATTAAGCCCTACTACGCGCCACTAAAGTGACTTCCCGTAGCGACTAAGCGACGTTCTAGAACGAATAGTCACACGAGTGGCTCTCTTCGCATTTCGCGACAGAGCTGTCCGTTCCGGACTAGCTCAGCTGTAACAAAAGAGCTAAATTTCACACTTAAAAACGTGTATATATATGTTAATTAACTTGGAAATTAAAAGAAAATAATTTCGGTACATTTATGTATTTCAATGCAAAGCGTTGAAGTTATTGCTTTGCATAATGAGTACTCTGTCATACATTTGCCAATTATTTTTGGCAAGTTATTATTGGTATAATTGGCCAATTATTTCAGCCAATTATTTTTACTTCATTATTCGTTGTGTTTTAAATTGTTGTGTGTGTGTCTGTTAATTTGTTTTGTTTATGTGTACATTATTTGTGTACACACTACATTATTATTATATAATTAAACTTTGTTACAACTAATCTTTGTGTTTCTTTTTTGTACATCACATACAAACGAACACTTGCTAATATAATTAATATCGCGCTTCTGCGAAACAGTAGTAAAAAGGATACTACGGCATAAAATACAAGAAACAAAAAACAAGTTTGGTCAGGCAGATTTCATCCGTCCTGTATTCCTAAAAGATGTACGAAAAATAAAAAACAAGAATTGTGCTTCAAAAAAAAAGAAAGCAAGGCGAGAATCAGCATGTGTATTCCCGATTCTATAATTCGTGGACGAATGAAGAACCATGCAAGATCCTTTGTCGGATCGTTAAGCGGCTTTGTCCGGATGATTTACATCCAGTCTTAGCAATGCTAAGTTTCTCCCGCCTGCTACAACCAATTGATTATAGCTCAGCTTCTCTCACACCTCGGGACCCTTTCCTTTCCATCTTCCTCTTTGCCCTTCACCTGTGATCCGCTACAACGGCGAGTCCGGAAATGAAAAAAATTTCTTTGCGACGCACGTCACGTTTTGATTGAGATGATTTTTTGATTATTTTTATATAGAATTATGTAAATATATCTATTCACAGTGTTGGCGCAAGAATACAATTTTCATTTCAATCTTCATTTTTAAATTAAAATACAAAGCAGTCCATTTTTTTGACACAGATGCGCGAATGTTAAATTGTAAAATTACACGTGCACATGGTAAATATGCAAACCTTTCGTCACATATCCGTTTCGTCTGTTCCTGTCATTGTCACAATCCGTTCCTTCATCTATGCCGTCGTTCTAGGAGACTTAATTATCCAGCTGCAATGTCGCTGTTAAAGAGGACAATGACACCATATACCATTCGCCTCTGTTTTCGCTCACAAAAGAGCTGGCATTCTCCTTTCGCGCCATGTGTCGTCGAAGTCGAGAGCGAAAGAGAATGAGCACACTTTATTTTCCAAATGGCCTCGAAGAGGTGGGAGAGCACAGAGAGAACAAGAAAGTCAACTCCCTCGCATTATGTCACGATCCTCGATATTATAGCCGCTTCAATATTTTGGCAAGGATTCGTTTCGGAAAATCCGCTCGTGTTAAAATGTCGACGAAATACGTTTCTATGTTACAAGGCTGTCGCTATTTTGTGAGATTATGATTTTTTTTTATCAATTGATGTGATAATAACCGATTGTAATATTACAAATTGTGTGATAAACGATATTATTTTTTTTTCTATTATCAAGTTAATTAAAATATACAGAATATCTCGAAGTCAATCACTCGTGAGGTGATTGGAGACTCAAAAACAAGAGAAAAGATGCTACCTCCACGTGATGCATCCCGGATAATACCAAACCAGCCCGCCACTTTTATTTGACTTTAGTTATATGTTATAAAACTCATATACTAATCATTTCTTTTTTTAATTTTGATCAAAAATTCGAAACACAGCAACTTTCAACAGAAGACTGACAATAACTCAAAAACAACGCGTTTCCGCGAAAGTATGTTCATATGTCAATGCGATCAGCTGTGTTCAAGGCCGTTCCTTGACCTACATTTGCGAGCGATAAGTCGCGTAAGCCATAGAATTAGGTAAACATTCGAATACGGCGAAGTTTTGTGATACAGCGATCGCGACGGGATTAAAAAAATAAAAAAATAAAAAATAACACAACTATTTGTTAAATATTTCGGCTATTTCATCTGTTCCAGGTGATGACTTCTATGGATGCAATGAAATACGGAGTTGATCCAGATAAATATCGAGCTGCATACATGTCGCATCCCACTAGTACCAGTCTCGCAATGAGCATGTACCCGGATCCTAAATACCTGGATTCCAATCCCAAACCGTATTTGGACCGAAGCTATTTGGATTCGGCAAAGGCGTATTTCGAACAATCAAAGCTTTACATGGATCAAAAACCGCTTGGGATTGATTACAATCGGCCAAATTACGAACCGAATAAGCTCTATGAAGAATCCAGTCCAGGAAGCGTGGTCGGAAGTGGACCTACGAGGTCACCAGCTGCGGAATCTCCGGACACAAGCAAGCACCACGAAAGAACGGCGGATCAAGGATCGTCCAGCACAAGTTCGACGTCGACGTCATCAGCCGCGAGTCCAGGTGCATCTCTGCCAGCTTATTACCCAGCGCCTACTCAGGCGTTGCTACCTCCACAGGTGGGTCAGGCGTATGGTGGTTACTCGACAACACAACCACCAAACGATATTGTTCGGCGACCGTTGACGGTCATCTTCTGACCCGATAGGCCGTAGTTTTGAATTAAAGAAATCGTTTCGTTTTCGATTCGACTCGCTTGAATCGCGAGTTGAAAGAGAATGTCAAACGTCACAAGTCTGACGATTTGATTTCTCTCGAAATATCCTGATAGCATTTATTCAAAACAGATTTTGTCAAACATCCACAAAAAATGTGGAATATGGAATTAGTTGATTCCGTGCAGTGAGCTCAGATCTGAGCGGGCAAAATTTAAATATTGATGATTTTATTAAATCAAAACCAATTGCCAAACATCAAGTTAACGTGTAGTGAAGTTGTGAACTGTGACTCGTTTACGTGAGTCAGATAGTTGAACAAAGGAAAGAAAGAGAGATCGGAAGATAATTATATTGTGATATTATTTGCAAACATATAATGGTAGAACGTGATAATTTGATTATTTTAAAAATTAACTTGCTTATTTATACTACGAAATTAATTTTTTTAACAAGAAATATATAAGGCCTTACGAGCCATTCGCAGGATGTTTGTGCGGAAACTGTGCGTGTACAGTCGGCGTCAATGAATCGTTTCGTAGCCCCGGGAGCTAGGGGTAAGAGAGACGGTATTCCCTAGGAGTAAGTACTGCCAACGGGCGCCGCACTAACTAACTGTAGCAGATTTCGATGAATTGACCAATTACAATATTTACTGCTAGGGAATACCGTCCCTCGTATATACATGTAACGAATTCTACTTGTAAATTTTTACAAGTAAGTGTTTTTTTGAATTGAAATCTCAATTCTTAAATTCATACGGAATGCTGGATTTGCATCTCACATATGAAAAACTCCGGGATACCCCCCTAACTAATTTTAAAAGCGAATGGCTCGTAAGGCCTTATATATTTTTTGTTGACAATTTCAACGAGCCTTAAGTCTTAATTGTTATTTTTTTAAGTTTTGGTCGCCTAAATCTTGAATTCGGCTCACTGTGCAACGACTTGTTCGCGTTGTTTACACTTTTTTATCATTTTTGCACTTGAAATACGACAGATATTGTTGCGAAATGTGCATCTACACCCAGTAACAAAAAATGACAATTTAATCGAAAGAAAGTCTTGATCTCTGAATATTTTGACGAAATTTTGTAGATTTGTAAATAAAGTACGAGTTTGCAAGAATCTCTTAAACTTCTTTTTTTTTCAAGTCGAGTAATCGCAACAATATTATTTATGTTCATATTTTGGAAAGACAAAGACAACAAACTAAAGTGCAAACTAAGTGTAAGCAATACGAAGATCTACATCTGTACGTCACAAAACAGTCTGAAATTGCATGAAAACATGCCAAAAGTTTCGCGCATTTTGTGTGAAAATAATAGTGTTTAGAGACAAATCAAGAGATTCGATTTTGCTTGATAAAGTACATCTAAAATACAGAGTGTATTATTAGATTATTAACCTTTTCGCTCCGGGACTGGTCCATATATGGACCAGCAAGAAAAGCGAACGTAATAGATGTTTATAAGGTCAATTTAATGCACTAAATTTAGGAAAAAAATTGAAAAAAATCCTGGTTACTTCTTTGACCTTCAAAATTAACTTTGAAGGGGGAAGATAGCAGGTTATTATTAACTTTTTCAGCTAAAATGCGAGGTCAATTTTAAAGGAAAAATCCCCGGAGCGAAAAGGTTAAGTATGAAATTTGACAAATATATACAGATATAAAATATACACAATGGGAGAAGTTTTTGTCAAAAAATAAATGATAAATATGCAAATCAAGTAAAAGTAAAGACCTTGTGAAAAAGTCAAATTTAAGAGTTGAGAACCAATGCGAAGTGAATACAAGTTGATATTGTAAAGAAGTAAATTTATTTAATCGCCAAACGTTTCGATCACAAGTTCGGTTTTCGATTTTTTTTACAGATAGTTTATTTTTACAGATATTTTTTTTTTCTTATATTGAAGGAAGTTTATTTATACAGATATTTTTTTCCTTATATTGGAGGCGGATAATGTTTTGGTTTAATATAAAAAAAAACACTTGTATAGGTTCCGGTAAATGCGTAAAAAACATACGTTCGCGAATTTTAAATTCACATCTGCTCCGTGAACATTTAATATGCCTATGAATAATATCTAGAGTAAAGTATTAAAGTTCTAAAACTTCAAATTGTCATATTTTCTAAACCACAAGGCCGTCCCCCCGCAAAAATTTTAGAAATTTCTCAGTACGATCTGCAATATTTTTAAAGCGCATCGAAATCAATGAGGCGTGACTTAAAATGCATATCTCCCAAATAAATATAATAATTAATTACTAATAATTAGTAGATTTGCTGAATGTGTGTGTATAAATATATTTTTAAACGTGCAAAATACACATAGAAATTCATTCAAATTGTATTCAGTTCGGATATTTGTCTGAGATGCTTAATTTGCATTTTATAAATAATTAATTTTTTTATGATTTGATATTTGAATAAATAATTAATTTAGACCAGGTTCGCCGATGGTTCACAGATGGTGGTGGTTTCTTAAAGAAATTATATAGGGTGACTCACACATATATGCTAAATGGAACGTTTCGATAAATTTGGACCATCGGCAAACCTGATTTAAATTAATTTATTTATAATTCATTAAATCGTTTTTTATTTCAACAAATAATTAATAATCATTGCTTATAGAGTATTTCTCCTATTGAGTCACCGCGCGCTTAGCAATCGTGAGCGAAACTTTTGGACTGTTTCTTCACACTGAATGCATGCTCATTCGCGGATCTTTATAAATTAATACGGAGTAGTCGATTGATATGAACGAGCAATTGATAAGTACTTCGAAACGACTTGACGCATAGATAGCGAATAGCAAATCACATTGCTGTTGTCATTAACAGGTTTCAGATTACATTGTTTAGAAGAACAAAGAAAATATCAGACGACGGCTCATTATCGAAAGTGTTTACTTTGGTAAATAAACACCTTCGGTTTTCGAATTGCTGCATCATCCGTTTTCCAAATACGACTTATTTATTACAAAAAACATAACAGAATGGAAAGAAAAAATATCAGTACAATATAGCTACCGTTTATCACGTCATTAAATGATGAAACTAAGATGCTGTGGCAGTGGACTGTCAGCTAATATCAAAACGAATTTTTACTATCAGTACATCTGGAACGCATTTGCGCATGACTTTTCGAAGAGTGAAAGAATAAGCGACAAGTCGCGTGCAAACTTCCGCTGCACATCTTAGTCATACTGAAATAGCAATGACACTGTTTTTCAATTCAAATTAATCGAAGCAGCAACATATCGAAGACGAGCTGAAAGGAAAAGAGAAAAAACGAAGAAGCAGGAGATAGTACAATACGGTATCAGTACGATGCAGTACATACTGGAAGCAAAGAAGTCATAGAGCTGGAGCAAAGATTAGAGAGACAAAATAGGGACGTGACTCTGATTGTTAAGACACAACTGAAACTATATTCAAGAAAAATAAATTAATGAAAAATTTTTTTTTAACAAAAATAAATATATAAATAAATAGGTCTAAGATGAGTGAAGAAATTCTATTGGTAAGATTCTATACAAATTAATTAGTGGACCCATTGATAATTTATTACAACAGAGGATAATGGATAGATAAAAGATTACTTTAGGAAACATTTCAAAATCAACAATTTGAGTAAGCTTTTTTCGAGCATCAGACTTCACATTGATATCTAAATTGATTTTTATTGAAGATTTTTTATTGAATAATTATATTACAGAATTAAACACCATTGAATCGGACAAACAACAGTATCATCTCGATGCAGCAAGATTATTAAACTTAACTTGACTAACGCTCTATTTCAAAAAACCTGACACCGAAGTCATTACAAATAACAACGAAGACTGGAAGAACTTTCGCTTTGTGACTAATGAATTTGTGACTATATAAGAACTGTCTTGACCTAAATGTGTTAAGAATACATTGTACATAGCCTCTGTGTAAATAATGTAGCAAAAACATGGCTTTTCCGGATTTCTGCACGTAAATATTCGCTTTCTTACCGATTTTCATACCGAAGCGCGCGGACTCGTAACCGTTAAAGAGAAAGCAGTATACAAAATGACGTAAACATCTTTTTTGTTTATTTGCAACTTTAAAACGATCTTCTAATTAATTGTAAATATTAAAGATATTTTTAAATTTAGTAATTTTGTTCATAGAACCCTGCTGTTTTTTTTTGTTTTTTTTTTAATAAAATTTGGGTTTCGGTGAAATGAGCTGAAAATTTAGGATAATGTAGTTTATATCGTCCCGATCACAAATATCCCAATACACACAAAAATGACTAGTCTTTGAGATATAATAAATCAAAAGTTGAGATATTGCAATTTACTCATCAAGTGTGCGCAAAGTCTACTGATCAAAAATATAATTTTCTTCTTTATTCTTTTTCGTGTAAAATTATAATGGAAGGGAAGTGGCCAATTCGAGTGTTGTTGACGGCGATGCGCGACTGATAGACTAGGTTCTTCCTATACTTGCAAACCTTCCTCACACTGAAGAAGACTCTAAATTAGGGGTCGAAACGTTTGTTTCAAAAATTTTTCAAAATAAAGAAGTTTATTGAAGCAAAGATCTGGTTATTACCTCGAATTGGCCACTTCTCTTCCATTATAATTTCCTTTACATAACAAAATTTTTATTGTAACTCCGTCAGGGTTCAAACTGATTGGAAGGCTCGATTCAGTTCGATTTTTTTAATCAAAAATTCATCAATTCCCTGTACTTAAATCAAATCCAAATTTGACTTGAAAGAGACCGGTCGGAAAAATCCGCGCGATATGTGGATTCGAACTCATCATCTCCCGCTCGCAGCCATCACACTCAGGGCCGCGACACCACTGGGCCGACCCTCGATTTCCTCTATATTTAGTTTTCTTATAATCTGTACAGCAGTGTGTATGTCTGTCTGTTATGTGTTAATCTGTGTTTGTGTTCATCTAATCAATGGACGACCGTGCACTAGTCTCGCAGTCTGAGTTCTCAGGAGCTGCAAACGTGGAGGTTCCGCGACTTCAAATTCGCTCATCACTCTAGGATTTTTTCTAGACTAATTTCTTTCAATCAGATAAATCGATTGAATGATGGGTGAATTGAATCAGGCCTCAAAAAGAGATTACACCCGAATTAATTTTCTTTCCAAGGTGATAACCCGAGCACGAGCCCGACACAGATAGGTACGTCCACTGTGAAATACGGCCGTGTATCGCGTGGGAGGAAACTCAATTGTTACTAAAAGCACCTATTTGAAATTTTTGAGTAGGTCTAGGAGCAGTGATGAAACTTCTTACATATACAGACGCTCAATCTGATTTAATGCGAGTGTCTTTTCAGAGTAATATATATCTATTTCGATATCAACAAAAGTTTTTATCAAAATATATTGGGTATATAATTGTACAGATACAAGACATTTACTGTTATAAAACAGTAAATAAAAAATAAAATTAAAACAATTAAAAAAGTAAAAAATAAAAAAAAATTGTTGTACATACATGTATATATGTATATATATATATATATATATATATCCATGATTTTGGATTTCGGAAAATCCCGGCGGTCTAAAAGTTAAACATGTAAATGGTTTTGAGGATCGACGAGTTCTGTTACCAAAATCTCGAATCGCTCGAAGTAATGTGGTGATAAGCTACTTTATTTTCATGAGCATTGTTTATGTATTATAGACTGTTTATATTAGCTCCTATTCTATTGCTAGACACAGTGTGAACGCGCGAAACACTGAGATATTATTTTGCACGTAAATAGACGCTCATTCGCTGATTTTTTTTATTGATGTGTATATTTTCTGCAAGACGGTCATGCTTTGTTCCGTTTCTTTGTGTGTTGGCGAATATGGTGACAATTCAATTCGGTTTTTAATTTTGCAGTTAAGAACCTGCGTGCATAGACATACTTTATTGTTTGTTTATCTATGTTGTCGATTGTTTTGACTCGCTGTACTTGCTGACGCGCATTAAACGGTCTCCGTAATGACTTGTCAGTAGTAATATTGTTAATCACATCAATTAAAAAATTTGATCGAAACGTCTCTAAACAAACCTGCATTAATACATTGCGAATTTGATGTTTGTATATAATGCTGAAGATCAATTTCGTTTCCGAACAAAACGACTTACAGTCGTACTCCTCGAGCATGAAACGACTCGTCGAGTGATTCTTTTCAAACTACTCAGAGAGTTCGCGTCCGCGTCCGCGACATATAATATGATGCGTGAATGGAATTTAACTTTCGGATATAGGTGAAGATGCCGAGACGTTCTTGTTACGTATTAAAAGGATCGCGATTTAATTTGGTTTTGACGAAAATTATATTGTCTTCCTTTTTTTCGGACATTGCTCTATATTGGTTTTGTAGCAATGTTCTTGCATAACTTCGACTTACTAATTGTAAGTGTCGATTTCTTTATATCTCCCGATAACTATCCTTTAGATAAAGATATATAAAAAAAATATATTTACTTCATCTTTTAGGTAAAGTTATCGAGAACTTATCTACAAGTGAAAAAAAATTAAGCTTAAGTCGATTATCCATGTAGTGATAACTACGTAAAATGACATACGTTGTATATGTCACGTGGTGTGTATATACATATATACATACGCACAAAAAAACAATTAAAAAATTAAAAAATTAAAAAATTAAAAATTAAAGACCGTAGCCACAACAGCACACATGTACACAATTGTACATGTGTTGCGGCTACGTTTCAATATTTATTGCTCAGTATTAGAAAGTACAGCAGATTAGATTAGTTTTACTTTTAGATGTAGTTAGGTTTTAGATTTCGGTTTTTAGATTTAGTTATATTTATTCACATATTTANTTCGAAATTACTACGTGGTGTGTATATACATATATACATACGCACAAAAAAAACGATTAAAAAATAAAAAAATAAAAAAATTAAAACTTAAAAATTAAAAAACGTGGCCACAACAACACACATGTACACAATTGTATACAATTGTACACGTGTTGCGGCTACGTTTCAATATTTACTGCTCAGTATTAGAAAGCACATGTAATTAGTTTTACTTTTAGATGTAGTTAAGTTTCAGATTTCGGTTTTTAGATTTAGTTATATTTATTTACATATTTAATTCGAAATCACTACGTGGTGTGTATATACATATATACACACGCACAAAAAAACGATTAAAAAATAAAAAAATTAAAAAATTAAAAAATTAAAAAATTAAAAAATTAAAAAATTATAAAATTATAAAAAATTAAAAACTTAAAACACGTAGGCACATAACAACACATTTCGATATTCACTGCTCTGTATTAGAAAGTAGATGCTAGATTAGTTTTAGTTTTTTAGAATTAGGTTTTTAGATTTAGTTATTTATTTACATGTTTAATTCGAAGTACATGCTAAATTTTTATCATCGAAACCCAAATTAGCATTACCATCATTATCTTGTTTTTCTTACCGTTTCATGATTATTTCGCAGTTCTTAATATAAGAACATATATATTTATAAAAATCTAAGATTTCACACGAAAGAAAAATAATAGAAACAATCAACAGTATATATAGACCATAGGAAATAACAGTGATAAAGAAGAGATTATAGTTTTAGCATTTGCTAAAACTTTATAGTTAGAGCATTTGCAACAGAATCGTTTGATTTTTTTGTAACATCTGCTTTACAAATATGATGTTTACGCGATGTGTTGTAAGAACATTTAGCTGTTCTTGAATCTTATCAAGTGAGAACTGAAATGCCCGCAAAACGTCGGTATGAAAATAACGTTACCGTGATTTCAACTCAAAAACCGTATTCAGAAATTGCTACAAATGTTCTCAGCTCACCCAATAATAATAATTTAAATTATTGGTCAAAATAATGTCTGTTCATAATAACTCGATAAACGGAAGTAGAGAAAGAAACGGAAGAAGAGAATACGACTAATTCCATGTTTGAGATTGAATTATAGGCACAGAATAACTGTTTGTTTTTTTTTAAGAGTAAATGATTGGACTTCTTTTTATCTTATAGATAAAACAATGTTAATAACATATTGTTAATATTAATCTTTGTTGATAATTTTAATATACTTTGCTCCAGGATATTAATTTTTTGAGATAAAAATTAGTTTATATATCTATATAATTGTATATATCTATATGTAGGGTTTTTGAATAATTTTGACACAGCCGAAGTGTGAAGGTAGATTGAATTAATCTGAACCAAAAAATCATGTATTATTTTGCAAACTTCGCAATAGTTATTGAGTGATTAAATACATGTGATCAAATGAGTGCGTGAGAAGCGATGGTTTAAACTCTTATGACGTTTGCTTTCTTTATTAGTTGTATCTCGAACTATTTGTTATGTTATTGAGACTCCGCCTCTTGCTGTTAGGAGATTGCATGAAGTAAGCCATTTTTTTTACAATTGGGTCACGTGTATTAATTAATCACTCAATAACTATTGCAAATTTTGCAAAATTAACGTAACTTTCTAGTTTCAGATTAACCCAATCTATCTTCGGCTGTGTCGAAATTTGTCAGACACCTTGTATGTATACATATAAGTATATACAATATATACAAGATATTTTGCTGTATATAGTATACATATAGAACAATCTGTCACCTACTTCTTCGTGTATGTATATATAGTACATATATATGACTACACATATATAGGTATGCCTATATATATTGGTCATCACGTCATATAATTAGAATGAATAGTATCGTCGGATTGCATCACGTAGCATTTAATTCATCGACATTTTTCTCCCATGAGAGAGAGAGAGAGAGAGAGAGAGAGAGAGAAAGAGAGAGAGAAAGAAATGTATAGTTCACGAAAAACTGCAGGATTTTTATATTCTTTAAACATAATATCTTTAAAAAACAAGATGAGAGGCAATTGAAGCAAACACGGATGTTGTTGTGCAAACACGTGAAGGTGATTTTTATTTAAAGATGTAATGTGTATGTATAATAACGTTTCGACCGTTTTCTTTAATTCATAATGTCTTTACATTGCATTCATCATTACGGTGAGTTAGTATAAATGTTTCGATCGACAACCTGCAGTTCTTCGTGTAGTATAATATAGGTATATATACCTATATACCTATTGTATATACTATTCATACTTTAGTAGAATTATTTTTTGCTCCACGTAAAAAAATGACTGATCTTTTGACGAAATTCTTCTACTTATGATTCTTTTACTTATAATCTTGCTGAGCTGATGTGCGCGTTTACTTAAAATTTGTAAACTCTTATATAGCATTTCGTTTTGTGGAAACAATATAAAATTGTTTCTAAAAGTGTCAAGAGGATGCTGAACCGCTGGCAAAAGTTCGCTCAGCTTCTACTCAACCGCTGTTATCGGGTAAGTGGCGCCATTTCTCGGGACCGAGTCAAAACAAGGATAGATGACATGAGAGAGACAAGGATAAACATATGTTTCTCTCTGACGCTTCTTTAAAAAAAATTGTACTAATCTTAATTCCAATTTTTCTTGTCTCACAGGGCTTCAAAATCCTTTTTGAAACACTCAAAATATTTGTCTATGTTTCTAATTACGGATAAAGATATTTTTATTTGAATTCACACGGCCAATTTTGCATATACCTAAAGCAAAAATCTAGTTTCTGTAATAACAGTTTATAAACCTTTTTTTGTTTTTCTTACATTCTTATGCTTTATCCCATTCTTTACTATATTCTCTTTTTTCTGGAGAAGCATTTTTCATTCCGATTCATAGTTTGTACAAAAATTTGGAAATACGACATGAGAATAAAACAGGACGATTCAGCATCTTCTTAAAAATAATGAACCACTTTCTTTTCATAATTCTCAGGAAAGAGGAAACCTCGAAAATTCTGATTTGAAATAAAATTTTCCATATATACAAATAGCTCGAGATACAACTAATAAATCAATTAATAAAATAATTACTGCGAAAACTAATAAATACTTTAGGAGGATAAAGAGCTATATACGATATGCAAACTTCGATTTTTGTTTTTTAATCGAAAGCGTGAATGATTCTGCATCGGATCAAAAGAGAACAAATTGAAAAAATCTCTGGTAGTTTCAAAAATATAAGCGTTTAAAGAAACTAATTTTAACTAGAGACGAGGCGATAAAGGACTTACAATTTTAAGTGGGTTCCGAACCACCAAATAATTTTACCTAGAGACCAATTTGATTTGATTTTTATTCTTTTGCAAAATTCATTCTATTATTACTATTTTTTGTAGTGCATGAACAAAACATTTTTTTATATCGAAATTTTTTTTATATTAAATTAATAGAGAATCTTTCGGCTCTTGAAGTTTTCAAAACTATAAGTATATTAACAAGATATATATAAGGCCCTACGAGCCATTCGCAGGATGTTTGAGCAGAAACTGTACGTGTATATACAGGGTGTTTCAGAACTATGGGATCAAACTTCTAGGGGTTATTCAGTGCAACAGTAGAAAACATTTGAGTATAGGGACCCATGTCCGGAAAAGTGTCACTACC